TCATTTTTTAGTTTTACAAAAAATAATTTCAAAAAAACATTTATGTATTTTCTCTAAACAAGATAGAACGCGCACGAACACGTATTGTCGCGAACCAAACTGCGTCGGGCCAGACGGACGATAACGACGACGGCACGAGCGTTTGAGGGAGTTGTTTCACCAAATTCACTAGGAAAAGAAAATAGTTCCTCTTTAAATATCTTCCCAAAAATATTTCCCTTCATAATGCGAGATTTTTGCACTACTAACAACTGCTACACTGATATCAAGTGGGAAGACAATAATTTTATGACCCAAAACTGACCTGCAGGTCTATCTCTATGATAAGCTTAATTAGCAAATTAGAGGGGAGGGAAGAGATTTGATCCATTGTGTGTGCACGAAGATTGAATCACGATTTTGTTAGGTTCATTCCGTCAATCGTTTTTTAATCATATTTATTTATTATGTGACAAATTCATATGATCTATCAGAATCAAATATGTTATCTGACAACTATAACTACTTACTATGCCAACATATGAATAACTATCATAATTTTAGACCTGATACCAATACTAAGTATCAATATATGAGCACCATAAATGACTAGAGAAAAAATCTTCAATCTCATTTCGTTCAACCTAACCATTCATCATCGTCTTCTACTCACCATACTCTACAGAACTATCATATAATTCTCTATTTAAATTAAAAAGAATAAACCGTCTATTATCATAACTATAAGTTTCCTACAATAAGCATAAAAATAATTAAACCGACTGCTCGAGCTTTAATCATGTTATTCAATTTTTGAGAGGTATAGATGAAACGAGGGGGAGGGGGACGGTGAAGGATGGGCTTTAGTTTTGTTATGCTTGAAGGTTAAAGCATGATGATGAAATGTGGGAATGAAACCCATACCATGATCCAAAGATAAGCAGCAGCACCTCGCTTTCATCCACCAGGAGAGCATGTAGCATCCGAATAAATTAATATTTAATAAAAAAATGGAAATGAATAATGACGTCAAATATAGATGTAAACAGTGAGTTCCAATGATGGTGGTGTTGGCATTAGCAATCAATATTCAGTAGTCGAGGCCAGGTCCTGAAGTGTCGCCTTCACAGGTATTATTATCTGCTTTATACAAGGAGCCTTTCTGCACTTCCTCTGCCACTCACACTTATTTTACTAAGCATATAGTATCAATCTTCTCAAATCTATTCAACAATCATCTTAATCAGAATTAAAAGATTTTTCGTAAATTAGTGGACTGTTACTGTCAATACAGTTAATACATAAAGCGTATATGATCCGACCTGTGTTTCTTTTTTTTCTTCTTAATAGCATACAAATTAAAGGGTAAACTACATGTTTAGTATCTAAAGTATCACTTTTGTTCCGTTTTAGTACATAAACATTAATTTTTTTTCAAAAATCATACATAACATTTACTTTTTGTTTCATTTTAGTACCCAGTGTTTACTTTTTGTTTCATTTTAGTATCTCATTGTTAACTTTTTTGTTTCATTTTAGTACCTAAATTTTTAACAGCAAGGTACAAAAATGAAACAAAAAGTAAACTTTATGTATGGTTTTGCAAAAATTGAAAGTTTAGGTACTAAAATAGAACAAAAGTAATACTTTAGGTACTAAACATAAGATATGATCACTTTCGTTTTTATTTAATTAAGATATGATCACTTTTGTTTTTATTTAATTAAGATGTGGTAATTGCGGGTTAACTAATGTTAACAATTAATAGAATATGTGACATTATAATTGGTATAATTACATATTTAGTCCATGTTATTTACATATTCTCTCAATTTAATCATATCGTTTAAAAAAATTAACATAAAATATATATATATATATATATATATATATATATATATTTAATGAAAATAAAAATAAAATATTTTAAATTATGTTACTAATAAAATATATTTAATAAGTTAATATAAAAATATTTTTAAGTTAATATATATAAAATATTATGAATTTAAGTATTTATACACTAAGATGTAAAATATATACCCCATATTGGTCTAATTTAGACCAAGCAATGGTCTTGGCTTAATGGTTGGATACATGTTTAGTTTCCTAAGTGACCAAAGTGAATCTTTTTTGCCTCGATTTGTTTCTTTCAACCTAAGGGTGATGCGTGTCACTCTTTGATTGGTGGAAATAAATATATTAAATTAAATAAAGTTAACTCGGAGTGACCACATATTCATTAAATAAAAATGAAAGTGATCATATCTTACTTTTTTGAAATCACTGACCAAAAGTTAACAAAACACAAACATAAATCATCATTCATGCAATTAGCTCAAATTAAAATTATGGTCATCAAGTATATTCTTCTTTGGCCAAACGAATTGGAATCATATTGGAAAAAATTATAATAAATGCTATCAAAATAACTTTAAGCACGGTTTTGATATGTTATTATTATTATTATTATTTTGGAATGAACTGCAAAGCACTATTATGAACTATCATTTTTTTTTTGTTGTAGAAAAATAAATACAATATAATTATCAAACAAATATTAAACTAAATAAATAATTAAACATGCATCAAAACAATTAAATTCAAAATTTACAAATAAATCTAAATTAATTCTTAAAATATGGTTAAAATTGAATTAATCCTAAAAGCTGTAAAATAAGGGTTATTACTGTCTACGTAAAACAAGTGACAGTGGAGGTTTGTGATGATCAATGACAATTCACTAACCTAAAACAGAATAAAAAGAAACACCATGATCACACGATGTTAAACACTAACCTAAAAACAGTACAACTTACTACAAATCACAAAAATTAATCAAGCTCTACCATAACTAATCAATAACTACAAACAACAGCAGTAATCTACTTCCCTCGTCTGCATTTTTTATTAGGTTGTGGGGTTGTTGTTTTGGATCGATTCTTTTGGTTAAGGGATGTCATCCATGCTCTCTACGTCAAATTGTTGATTTAAAACAAGTGCGGGGGAAGGCTTGTGATGGTTAATGGAGGTTAACCCCTTCCAGTGTCAGCAAAGACTCGTTGGAAAAATTTGGTGATCATGTTTGATTACAATTCGTCTTCTAACATAGACAAAGAAGAGTTAATTAATGATGATGGTGAAAATATTTTTATTATTAACTCAATAATAAATTAAAATAATGTTAGTCCTCCAACCTAATGATGACACGTGACATCATTTGATTAAATTATTAAATTGATTATAGTTTATTAAAAGTATGACTGAATTGAGAGAATGTGTGAATAATAGAGACCAAGTGTGTGATTATACCAAACTGCCATGTCACCTAATTTACAACAATCAACCCTTGGTGAACATATTTTAATTAAATAAAAACGAAAATAACCATATATTACGTTTTTTGAAATCAGTAAAGAAAAACGAACAAAATAAAAATATAAGTCATCAACGTGGTTAAAAAGAATACACAGGTTAAAATCATCACGAAACATATTATACTAGTTAGCTGATAGTTGACTACCAAACTAATGAACGGTAATAAAATCAGAAGCATGTGTCATAGAACCACATATGTTCGAAAGGAATCCGAAAATAGGATTTATGAATAGATAGAGAGGAGGTAACAATAAGCTCCACCGCTTTATTCCTTCTCTATCAATTCTATTTTCATGACTGCCTCTCATTTTCCTAAAGTCATAGGAGACATCGAGGTGGAACTTGATTGTCCAAATCTCTGACTTATGTCTCCCCCCCTTTTACTTTATTTCCTTGTTTGCATGGCATAACATAGCGATAAGTGTGCAATTTAATTTCTTCACTCTCATACCTTCTTTTTTGTAATTGGGTAAAGTTTAAAGATAATCCATAGAATATAGTACATTGTTTTGTTGAGTCTTTCAATTATTAAAAGTTGTACAATGGTTTCTCGATTATAGGTCATGATTTTATTTAGTCCCTAACTATTAAAAGTTACAAAATGGTCATCTCACTATTCATATGTTTTAAACTAGTCTTTTTCTGTTAAGAAAATTACTGGACATCTGAGCTAGATGTTAACATGTTGATTGGATATGAAAAAATCATATTTTAACGATGTCCATTGACACAACCATTGCTTTCAAGCACTGACTCGTCAATATAATGTTTCAAGCAATGACACGATAACATACGTAAACAGAGATTTGATCCACAAAATACAACTTAAACGGTTCTGGGATCATATTTTACTATATCTCAATCAATAGGTTAATGTTAGACACAAATGACCGCCAATTTTTTAACGAGAAATGATGAGTTTGAAACATATGAATAGACGAGTGACCATTTTATAACTTTTAATAATCGGAGAATTCAACAAAACAACACCCTATAGTCGAGGGACTATTTTATAACTTTTAATAATTATGGACTCAACAAAGTAATACCCTATAACTAGGGGATCATTTGTGTACTTTACCTTTTATGATTTCGTCATTCACTTTTGTTGGTATTTCCCACCCAACTAATTACTAGGGATTAGCAGGCTAACCCAACCAGGCCCAAAAAATGTATACACTCCACATGAAAACTTGACTCGACTCTTTTTTAGGTTGACTTCAATCGATTCAAATTCGACTCATCTTTGTGACATAAAATCTGAACTCGACCCGAATCAACCCAAAATAAATATATTTATAAAAATATTAGTTTTATTTGATAAAAGTAGGGATTTAATTGACAAAATAATATAGAGAGTCAAATTATTGTAATTATCTATAAATATATAAAGTATAATTATATTATTTTTTGACTCAGGTCAGATCAAGTATTTCTCACCCTAAACTCAAACTCGACTTGACCCAAACACGTCATCTAAAAAACTAGACCCTACACAACCAAGACCTAAAAAAAACTCAACTCAATAGAATCAAATATGATCAAAACATATTGAATTCGAGTATTATGCCCATCCCTATTCCCATCCCTACTTATTACTATTCCCACACAATCATTCATATATAAATGTATATGAATGTATATATCTTATCTATATGTATACATGTGATTGTGTGTTTCATCATTCCAGTTGCCAAAGTACAATCAGTCTCCTCCTCCATTTGATTGCTCTTTTCTCTTTGCAATATTCTTTCAACCATGACAGATCCTTGCTCCAATCTCTTCACCAGAGGAGACTTCAACTTCGTACCTCTAAATCCCCACTACAGTACTTGTTTCGGTACCAACAAATCCTCCATTATCGAAGCTCAGAGCACACCTCCTCGCAAACAAGCCCTTCCTCTCATCAATTATCTAAGCGGTGAGACTGAACCTTCAAGCAGTTCCATGGAAGGTGGTGATAAGAGCCTCTTGTATTCCAACGATGAAGCCGATACTGTAACCCTAAACATAGGGCTACCTACCCCTATCTCCGATATGAGAGTTGGGGTTTCCCTTTCTACTCATGTGAAGGGACAGTACTGGATTCCTACCCTTACTCAGATTCTCGTTGGTCCTACACAGTTCTCATGTCATGTCTGCTGCAAGACCTTTAACAGATATAACAATCTGCAGGTATGCTGCACTTATTGCATGAGACATGATCCGCTAAAATTTGCTTTATTTCCTCTTTTCTCGCGTCGTGCTTTCGTTTCCATTCATTACCCTTTCCTTCACAGACCATCTTAATTATGTTTGATTATGTATTGAAAATGTTGCTGTTGCTTCTTGGGAGTTTGAAGAGTGTGCTAAAGCAAAACCCCAAACCCAGATAAATTGCAGATAGATGAGTTTTTTTTTTTCTTTTTCATCAAGGTTTCTATTTTCTTTTTGTTCAAATTTCAGATTGTTCATCAGGTTTAAGTCATCTGGTTTTCAGATTTCACTTGTCTGCAAAAAGAAACACCCTAGATTTGCATCCCCTACAGACAAAAAAAACGTGTTAATCTGACACCAGCATTGAAATTAGAGACCTCTACTTGTTACCTATTGCGATTAACAAAGACATTTCATGTTGAAAGTACCTAAATAACTTGCTGAACCTTCAAAGATAACCAACAAACAATATGTCCTTTCTCTTTCACCCAAATTGTTATTTTGCAGTTTGTTTCCTTCTTCATACCCTTTGATATCAGATTTGTTGCATGCAACTGCGGACACATGCCCTAGGTCTTGATTGGTGTTGTTTGTCAATTATTTAGGTTAATGAACGACATAAATGAAATAATATTCGACTTATTCGGAACTAACTCTTTGAACGTTATATTCATTCACAGCTCTACACCTACATCCATTGTGCATTATGCATATATATCTACTTTTGTGCTGGTTAACTAATGGTTACCCGGTTCCTTCCTTGTCTCGATTTGATATATGTGAATCCAATTCATGGAGGTTGCTTCATGTATAATCATATTTTCTGTTGTGGTTCCTGTCGCAGTTGCAGACAGGGATGAATCGAGGGGTGTTAGTGGTGTAGTTGCATCTCCTATAAATTTTAAATTTTCTTATATTTTACATATTTTTCCATGGATTTATATTGCGGTTACAGTCGCATTTTCGATTACGTTGCGTTTATCACGATTGCGGACATAGTAAATGCTATTGCGATGATTACAAATACCGTGATTATGCAATAACAGTTTCAGATAACACCGTTACAACTACATAGTGGGCGCTATTCCGATAGCAGACAACTATTTAAATCTCTGATATTTTCTATCGATTATCTAATTTCGTAATCCTAAAATTTTATAATTTGCACTCCCTAAATTTCTAATATAATTCTTAAGCATGAACTTCCTTACATAAATTCTTGCGTCTATCTCTGGTTGTGGATATTACATTTGTTTCTTAAAAATAACTATGCTTTTATATTACGAATGTAGTTTCAATGTCCCGGTGACATTGAAAAATACGATGTAGCCCTTATGTTACATTGCGATAGTAATTTAATACTGTAGCGGTGTCTGGATGATCTTGGAAAATAGTACAATGTGACTGTAATCTACGTGGTTAATTATGCAGATGCATATGTGGGGGCATGGATCACAGTACAGAAAGGGGCCAGACTCCCTAAGAGGAAGCCAGCCGACAGCCATGCTGAGGCTCCCATGCTACTGCTGTGCACCGGGGTGTAACCACAACATCGACCACCCGAGATCAAGGCCGCTCAAGGATTTCAGGACCCTCCAAACGCACTACAAACGCAAACACGGCGTGAAGCCCTTCGCCTGCAGGAAATGCGACAAGGCGTTCGCGGTGAAAGGGGACTGGAGAACGCACGAGAAGAACTGTGGGAAGATTTGGTATTGTTTCTGTGGGTCGGACTTCAAGCACAAGAGGTCTTTGAAAGACCATATCAAGGCCTTTGGCCCCGGCCACGGGGCGGTCAGCATCGATTCTTTGGATGAAGATGATGAACCAGGGTCCGAATTTGAGCTTGAATGTGAGTCCTCATTCTAGCCAGTACTTGACTTTCCTTTTCTTGGTTAGATTAAATGGCCCACAGCAAGTTGCTTGTTCATGTATATACATACAGTCTTTTGCTGGACCAGGATTTGTTCATGTCCTTTGGTTTGACTAATTAGTATGCAGCACATTTAATGTTCTCTCGTTGGAGTGGAAAATAAGAGTGTATTCGATTTAGTTTGGTTCGATTTTTTAATAAAAGACATATCAAATTGAATTGTAAAATTAAATGTTTAAATCCAACCTAAACTGAATCGTAAAATAAAAAATCCAAACAGAATTAAATCACATAATTTGGGTCTGATTAGCTTTTCAATTTTTTCGGTTTTGTTGTTTAGCCCCAGCATAGAGGACCTCGTACTGTAGAAGAGGAATCATGAATGGTTAAGGGGATGATTGTTATCCTGAGAGGTTTCGGATTCGAGCACGTCATCTACAAAAGTGTTTAATGGTGGAGAGTTTTTCGAACGACTAATAGAAAAAACTCACGAGAATAGGTTATGTGGAAAGGCATTGTGAGGTGCAATAAACCCTTTGCCTTCAAGATAATTCCCTGGAGCATGCTACTTTCAGGTTCATCCATGTTATTACAAGAGAAATGGGAATGTAGCCTACACCAGTAGGTTTTCTTAATCGAACTTCTCTGCATTTACCAAACAAAATGATCGATGTACATGTCTTCTAACAAAATATTTATTATGTTATTTATATTTTTAAATTGTCTAATATATGATATATATGTAATTTTAAAATGTTTAATATAATATTTATTTTTTATCAAAATATTCAATGTGGTGCATGAAATGCTTAACTATTATTTAGTGTATTATCATGATATTCGGATTAACATGGTTAATAAATATCGTATTTATTATCATTTTAAGTATTATTATGATTTTTAGATTAACACAATTAGTGTCACTGGCGGAGCCAAGCTACAATGAGTAGGGTGAGCGTTTGATCGAGTCGAGTAGAAAAACTTCGAATTATTCGAGTTGATGAGTCATATTTCACAATTTGAAGTTGACTTGAAATTTTTTCAAGTCGAGTCAAATTTTCAAGTTTCTGTTTAAATTTACTTGTAAATATTTATAATATTATGATATTATTTGATTCAATTTAAATATTTTTTAATCATATACAATACATATACATTTCTTCATATTTTTCATATGTGATATACAAATATCATACAAAGTCGAGGGACCCAACTCAAACTTGAAAATCAACCCACTAATTACTAAAAATTTCGAATTACTATTCGAGTTATTTGAGTTGTATTTTATAACTTGATTTGAACTTGAAATTTTTTCGAGTCGAGTCGAGTTTATGAAATTATAAATCGAAGTTGATTTGAGTTGGATTTTTTTGAATCAAATTCAGTCGAGTTTTGCTTGTCCCTAACAATGAGGAATGACATATGATACCCCAAAATATTTGTGGGAAAATTATATATAAATTTAATATAAAATATTTAAAAATAAATAAAATTAATATATTTTTAAAAAAATGTTGACACCATTAAACATAAAATGACACCCATTATTCATTTTCATTCACTCAAAAAAATTTCTTCATACAATCTCTAGATCTGACACCCAAAATAAATTTTCTCTAGATTTGACACCCCAAAATAATTTTTAACTCTGCCAATAATTAGTATTGGTTAACTCAATTAATGAAAATTCATAACTACTACAATAATATAAAAGATTAAAGTTTAAATATCATACTAGATACTATTTTTAAGTAAAGGTATCATATGAGATATTTTAAAAATTAAGGTTTAGTTAAATATTGATTTAAGACCTTGCTTTTGAAAAATAATTTTTAAAAGTGTCGTACAAACGAACTTTTAAAAGTGCAGTTTAAAATTTAATTGTTTGTGATTGTTTTTAAAGAGTAAGTTTCAAAAGATAAAATGTAACCCCTTAGACTTGGCTTATGCGTTACGACCAGATCTATCGGATTACGATAAAAAAATTCAAAACATTTTTCAATAATTTAAAACCATATTACATATAAACCTCTTTAAAAACATAGTTGATAACACTAAAGTTCAATTCCAGTAAATCAAAGTCATAAAGACTGAAAAAAAGATAAAATATTCCAAAATCAGTATCGAAGTAAACCTAACATAAACATTACATCAAAATACTACTGTACGAATGTGTCAATCCTCCAAGTGCCAGGTCCGGGACTCCTATCAAAAAGTATATGAAAGAAAAAAGCTTAAGGAAGTGAGCTAGGGAGCTCAGTGTGTTCCAACAGTGTAGAAAAAAAACATATAGTTGAGTTTCCAAAATCAATTCAGTTCCAAGTTGTGAAAACATCAGTAGCGTTTTTATCTAAAAATACAGAATCGCCCTCCAACTGAACACCATATGTAGTTCCCCAGAACTGCATTCATAAGGACTTACCCTAGGCGCAAAGGGCATAGATGCCAACCTAAGGGAGCACCTTGGGTCCATAAGGTCTTACCCTAGCCAAAGCAAAGGTGCCCACCTGAGGGGTGTGCCCTCAAGCCCATAAGGACTTACCCAATACACATTGCCACCCTTGGGTCGCCTTAGGTCCATAAGGAATTACTAGCTCGATTGGTCTGAACCTATATAAGGAATTACTAGTTTGACCAAAGCTGAACCTGGAGAGACTTCATACTAGATCCAAGAGTACCCCGAAGAAAAATATTTTTCAGACAGTAACCAGTGGTAGTAGCAAATCAGAATTCAAACATACTTATTTATCAGTAAAAACAATAACCAGAAAATAGGTGTCAAACAAGCATGATTTAAAATATAGTAAATCAGGAATCATACTTAAATCAGATTAGTCATACGGTAGTCAAATCAGAGCAAACAATTCCTTTCAAATCAGAGAAAATAATCATGTGCACATGGTATTTCAGACAGATATTTCAAACAGTTATATAACACACAATGAACAAACCTCACAAAAAGAATCGATCCAGTATATCTATCGAGCACAAGCCTCACTACGCTTTTCTACTGTACACGAACATAGGTTATATCAAAACAGGGTTATAATCGAAATAATATTATAAACTGAGTATCTAACAAGGTTACAAAACTATACGAGTATTCACGGGCTGACGCTGACGAAAAGATCGAGAGGAATCAAGTTGAGCAGGCGAATGGTCAGGAGATTCACGAGTACCTTAAATATACGACATCATCATAAATTGATCAGTTATTGACCTTGAATTAAATGAACTTAATTAAATTGCTTAAGTAACAAATGCATATTCGAGTTTGACGATAAATTTAGAGGCTTTTAGGTTCGAATTTGGAAAAACAGACTTTGGATTCAGACTCGGGATGTCGAAAAACATAAAATATGACTTTTGAAAATTTTAACTTTTTAGTCAAAGTCAAAGTTAACGGGCATGTCAACGGTCAAGGGCAGGTCAACGGTCAGGTCAAAGTCAATGGTTGACTCGGATCGGTTCAAACCGGTATGGGCCGGTCCGGTCCATCTGGGCCATTTCTAGAAGAGGCCACGGTTGGAGGAGAGCCTCACGCGTATGCGACGATGCATGGCAGTGCGTGGCGAAGAGGATGGGGTTGGGGGTGGCTACCAAGCACTCTGGGAGCATCCAAACACCATTATCAAGCCAAACCAACTCAAAAATCAGCCAAAATCACAACAATCAACCAGATAAACGTGATCAGGAGCTTACCCACAATAGACAGTGAAAATAAAGATAGTGACATCGACCCACCAGTTGGGTTTTGAGTGCACGGAGACGAGGAGTCCAATAGTGGCGGCGACGAGGCGAACCGATGAGAGAGGTGGCCAGAATCAAAGAAAAATTGAGTTGCGACGGGGTTTCGACGAAACTTTACCGACTTTTCCACGGAGATCTGCAATACCTTACGACGACTGGTTAGAGGGGTTTTGGTCAACGGTTGACGGCAAGTCAAATAGTTGAGATGTCGCTCCTAACGGAGACTAGACGACACTGAAACAATGGGGTAGCAAGGAGGATCCGAACGGCTTCACTCTCGATTTAGGCCAAACGGTGGTCGATTTGGCAGTTCTCCAATCGGGGATTGGTCACGGGTTGTTATTGAGCCGAACGATGGTAGCGACCGCTACGGATGGGCGAAGGATGGTGGTCGGCAGTGGGTTGGTGTGGGGTTGAAGAACAAGTTGGTTTTAGGGCTTGATTAACGAACAGGGGGTTTCTGGTTTGGTTTTGGGTTATAACCCAAACCAAATTATAAAATATATATTTATTAATATTAAACTCAAATAGGAGCCTAGCCTGGTGGTTAAGACATGAGTACTTATGACATTGGTTGAAAGGTTCAAACCATCCTAGTCACCTAAATCCCTTTTTTTTTTTTGGTATCAAGAGAGTATGGGAAAATTATGAGGTTAGTCCCTGAACTTTTTATATATTCAAACTTGACTCATAAATTTTTAGAAACTTATAGTTTAGTCCTTAAAATCAATTTATTAATTCTATAAATTTAAAAATTGAAAATTGGGGTGTGACATAAAATGTTCATTATAGATATTATGTTGTAAATTGAAAAGGGGTTAACTACACGAATGATCCTTTATGTTTTTGTTTTGTCCACTTTTTGAGATATAGTCACTTTCATTTTTATTTAATTAAGATATGGTTACTTTCGTTTTTATAAAAATAAAATGTGGTCATCACAGGTTAATTGATGTTAACAATTAACATAATATGTGACGTGATAGTTGGCATAATCACGTATTTTACATATTCTCTTAATTTAGTCATACATTTAAATAAATTTTAACATAAAATAAAATATTTTTAATAAGTTAATATAAAAATATTTTTTAAATAAATATTATAAACTTAAGCATGTATACACTAAGATACAAAAATATATACACCATGTTGTCTACTTTAGACCAAGCGATGGTCTTAGTTTAATGGTTGGATACATATTTAGTTTTCTAATTGACCAATGTTTGAATCTTTTTTGTCCCAATTTGTTTTCCTTTGTTTTCTTTCAGCCAGAGGATAACACATGTCAATCGATTAGTGGAAATAAATATATTAAATTAAAACAAAGTTAGTCATTCAACCGAATGGTGACATGTTGTAACACTCATCTCTCGTATTACCTTTCCGTATATGAGATACAGATGTCACATCACTTTTAAGATAATTC